GCGCCATCCATCCCAACAGCGGGCCAGTCTTCTCTCACCGAACATGTATATCTGTATTCATATATACACGTCGAATCTGTATCGAAACCAGAACCGTGATGACCGAGAAATCCACCAGGGGGCTCTTTTCTTTCCAATCTCCACCCTCGCGACAACCAGTGCGTGACCTAATCCTAGCCTGGGTCCCTGATGAGGGCATCAGTGGAGAGGAAGTCGTAATCGGGCTGCGCTCGGCCTTCAGACACACACACACACACACACACTGGGGCAGGTCGGGGTTGCGGCGAAAAATCGAAACCATTGCAGGTGAAGAAACGGATCATGGGCGTGCCGAGCTCCAAGCCGCAGACCTTGCGCATCGGCGAGATCACACGCCTAGCACGAAACCGTGTTTCGAGCGTCGGATGAAATCCTGCAGTCGCACTGCACACAATGAAGCGCCAGATTTCTAGTAGCAGCCCGCAACTTCCTCAGGTTATCCACCATCGGCCTCAAGAGAGGTGGGATGATCCTTCGGGGGAAGTATCCACAACCACGCGGTAGCCTCAGAAATGGAGTCCCCATGCTCGCGATTGTTCGAAACATCAGCACCGCCTGGGAACTACTAATTTTGCGGGGAATGTCCACATCATTTGGTCAATTTGCCATTGGAAGTCCCCCTCGCGGCTGCCCCGAGAGCAGGTGGTAGTACATTTTAGATGGGGCGACTGAGTAGGGGGACGGGACCAAACGCATCTAGGTGCAGGAGAGGGAACACGAAGCATCCATTTTACGCATTTAGGGGCAGCATGGGGAAGACGAAGCATCCCTTTTTCTCTCTTCTCGTCTTGCCGCTCCTTCTTGCGGGAGTGGGAAATCATTGGCCCAACAGCTGCACGTGCACACTGCATTGGCGGGCGCTCGGAATAGTTGTCAGGTCTTTCCTTGTCCTGGTTGGCCGCCATCAGCTGTTTATACTCCGCCCGCGCCTGTGCAAAATCATCAGCAGTGGGCCTGTAGCCAGACCGTCCCCAAGGAACTCGACAACTCGAAACATTGCGCAAGTGCTGAACAAGCCGGTGTGTGTGTTAGCACAGTCAAACTACCACATCGGACACAATGACCCAACAGCAAGCGTAGTGGTCGCATCAGATGTCGTGTGAGCCTTGCCTCTGTAAGAGCGCACCTTCTGCTTGTGTCTGTTGTCCTCCTCCTCCTCCTCCTCCTCCGCCTCCTCTCCTCCCTCCTCCTCCTCCTCCTCCTCCTCCTCCTCCTCGTCTCCCTCTCCATCATCTCGACCCTCATCGTCACCCTCCTCATCCCTTGCACCTTCTTTTACTTTTGTTTCTCTGTGCCTCTCAGCCTACGCATGCTCTTCCTGCCTCCCCCCTTGCCCTTCTTCATCCACAGTCTCTCCTTCCTCTCTCCTTCCCTCCTCTTTCTGAGTCCCTCCTCCTTCCTTCCTCCCTCCCCCCTCCCTCCCTCCCTCCCTGCCTCCCTCCCTCCCTCCCTCCTCCTCCTCCTTCTCCTCATCCTCCCATCCCTGCTCCCTCCCACCCTTTCTCCCGCCCTCACTCCCTCCGCCTCGCCTCCTCCACACCTCTCCGCCCACACAGACGCCAGACGCCCTGGAGGCCTCGACGCCCCGTCCCCCGGGACGGGCTTCCATCCCGAGTCGTTCTTTGACGGCCCCGAGGCCCATTAGGGGCCCCGAGAGGCCGACAACGTGGAGAAATCTCCGTCTCGACGTTCTCGAGACGCTGGAAGTCTGGGGATTTCAACATATTCTCTACAGATAAGACGACGCTCGGACAAGGGCACCCAGAGGCCACAGATGTTCCAAATGGAAGAAGGGGGAGTAGTAAGCATGCACTCTGAGACCCGACGACGCGGAACAGAGGCAACATCGCAGCAGCAGCACGCACGGAGCCCCAGACCCCCACCTTTACGCGCCATACTTCGAGCCGTCTCGATCTCTGAGGGCCCAGGGGCCCGAACACGGGCGTGAACGCCTGGATCGAACAAACATGAAGCACCAGGATTTCGGGGCGGTGGACACGGTGGGATAGGAGGAGAAAGGGGGGGAACGTGAGGGGGAGGCGGAGGACGACTATGGTGGATGCAAGGATGCCAGGCGTAGATGCACCAGCTATGATTGGCCAATAGAGGACCCCCAGCCCTTTGGGAGGAGACCTGCGTTGGGAGGGCCAGGAACATTATGGACAGGGGGTCTATTTCTGCAGGTGCATCGACCCACACCTCCCAGAACTGTGATCCCTGATGTGAAGACGGGGACCTCAGTGAGGCTTCGTCTTCATCGTGCTATCAAGGTTAGGGGTTCTTTTCTCCTCAGTGAAGCTGGTTTCCCGCCAGCGCTCTGGACAGACACGAGGGCTACGGCGCAGTGCGAGGAACCTGCGAGGGTCCTGGGGCCCGAAACCGGGCGTTAACGCCCGGCTCGCACAAACGTGACACACCAGGATTTCGGGGCAGTGGACATGGTCGGGGGAGAATTGAGCAG